ATAATCAGAGTTGGAAGGGACCTTGTGGGTCACCTAGTCCAACCCGCACCCAAGCTGGAGACTCTACACCATTTCTGACAAATGGCAGTCCAATCTCTTCTTGAAGGTCTCAAGTCATGGCGCTCCCACAACTTCCGAGGGCAAGCTGTTCCATTGGTTGATTGTTCTCACTGTCAGAAAGTTTCTCCTTATTTCCAGGTTGAATCTCTCCTTGTTCAGTTTCCATCCATTATTCCTTGTCTGGCCTACAGGTGCTTTAGAAAATAGCTTGACTCCCCACCTCTCTGTGGCAGCCCCTCAAATATTGGAAGACCTCTATCATGTCTCCCCTGGTCCTTCTCTTCACTAGACTAGCCAAGCCCAGTTCCTGTAACCATTCTTCATATATTTTAGTCTCCGGTCCCCTAATCATCCTGGTTACAGGGTACAGGATACAAGATGCTGGAGCTCATACTTCTCAATCGACCTTTGTAGAGCAAACATACTGCTTGCTGATGTAGATATGGTTCAGTACATCAGTGCAGAAGAAGTTCCTGCCATCACCCAAACCAGCACTTCTCCTGATTAGATGATGAGCCAATGCTCTAGGTTTAAAAAAATTGACTGCATGTACAGGTAGCCCAACAATTCATTTAGTGACCGTTCAAAGTTACAACGGCACTGAAAAAGTGACTTATGACTATGTTTCACACTTATGACCATTGTAACATCCCCATGGTCACATGATTTACAACTGACTCACATTTATGACAGTTGCAGTGCCCAGGGTCGTGTCATTTTGCGAGGATCTTCTGACAAACAAAGGGATTTGGGAAACCAGATTCACTTAACAACTGTGTTACTAATTTAAGAACTGCAGTGATTCACTTAACAAATGAGGCAAGAAAAGTCATAAAATGGGGGGAAACTAACAAATGTTTCACTTAGCAACATAACTTTTGGGCGCAATTGTGGTGATAAGTTGAAGACTACCTATATAATAGTTTGGCCCACTATATCATGTGTCTGAAATAAAATAGGGGTCTGTCTATCCATCACTACTGCCCTCCCTACATTTTATGCCAATTTAACTCTGTAAATCGGTTTATGGAGAGAGAGAGGGAGAGAGAAAGAGAGGTGGACCAAGGTTATTCATTGAGATTTACAGAGAAAAATATAATATTTAACTAGGTTTAAGATGCATTATTTTAAAACAAGGGGAATTATTGAAAAAATAATAGTTATTGTTTACAAGGAGTCAAGTAATTGTCTTCTTACTATTTTTAAGTCATTTAGCCCTTATGAAACCAATGACATGGGAAGGAGGAATCTTAAGGAATTAAGAATTGTAACAATGCATGTGTGTCAGCAGACTCTATATTACTAAAAATCATGATACAATTCAATATTTAAGCTCTAGTAGGTGGTACAGCAGCAGAACACTATAACTCTGTAATGCATTCCCCATCCTTGAGGCAATCTAGCATTGCTGACTGGCTTACTCTCCAGAGTTTGTTTGAGCCAGACCAAGGGTTGGGAACGATGGCCCTTTTATGACTTGTGCTGGTTCGGGAATTCTGGGAGTTGAAATCCACAAGTCATAAGGGGGCCATCATTCCCCACCTCTAATTTAGACAATGGATTCATAGTTGCATTTTTGCATTCCTGAATTTGTGTATGTGTACATACAGTTGTGCTCGTAAGTTTACATACCCTGGTAGAATTTATGATTTCTTGGCCATATTTCAGAGAATATGAATGATAACACAAAAACTTTTCTTTCACACATGGTTAGTGGTTGCCTGAAGCCATTTACTATCAATCAACTGTGATTACTCTTTTTAAATCATAATGACAACAGAAACTACCCAAATGACCCTGATCAAAAGTTTACATACCCTGGTGATTTTGGCCTGATAATATGCACACAGGTAGGCACAAAGGGGTTTGAATGGCTATTAAAGGTAACCATCCTCACCTGTGATCTGTTTGCTTTAATTAGTGTGTGTATATAAAAGGTCAGTGAGTTCCTAGACTCCTGACAGACCCTTGCATCTTTCATCCAGTGCTGCACTGACGTTTCTGGCTTCTGAGTCATGGGGAAAGCAAAAGAATTGTCAAAGGATCTGCGGGAAAAGGGAATTGAACTGTATAAAACAGGAAAGGGATATAAAAAGATATCCAAGGAATTGAGAATGCCAATCAGCACTGTTCAAACACTAGTCAAGAAGTGGAAAATGAGGGGTTCTGTTGAAACCAAACCATGGTCAGGTAGACCAACTAAAATTTCAGCCACAACTGCCAGGAAAATTGTTCGGGATGCAAAGAAAAACCCACAAATAACTTCAGGTAAAATACAGGACTTTCTGGAAACGTATGGTGTGGCTGTTTCAAGATGCACAATAAGGAGGCACTGGAAGAAAGATGGGCTGCATGGTCGAGTCGCCAGAAGAAAGCCATTACTATGCAAATGCCACAAAGTATCCCACTTACAATATGCCAAGCAGCACAGAGACAAGCCTCAAACCTTCTGGCACAAAGTCATTTGGAGTGATGAGCTTTTTGGCCACAACCATAAACACTATATTTGGAGAGGAGTCAACAAGGCCTATGATGAAAAGTACACCATTCCTACTGTGAAACATGGAGGTGGATCACTGATGTTTGGGGATGTGTGAGCTACAAAGGCACAGGAAATTTGGTCAGAATTGATGGCAAGATGAATGCAGTATGTATCAAAAGATACTGGAGGAAAATTTGCATTCATCAGCCCTGAAGTTGCGCATGGGGACATTCCAACATGACAATGATCCTAAACACAAGGCCAAGTCAACCTGTCATTGGCTACAGCAGAATAAAGTGAAGGTTCTGGAGTGGCCACCTCAGTCTCCTGACCTCAATATCATTGAGCCACTCTGGGAAGATCTCAAATGTGAAGTTCATGCAGGACAGCCCAATAATTTATAGGAACTGGAGGCTTTTTGCCAGGAAGAATGGGCAGTTTTACCATCTGAGAAGATAAAGAGCCTCATACACACATACCACAAAAGATTTCAAGCTGTCATGGATGCTAAAGGAGGCAATACACCGTATTAAGTAAACTTTTGATCAGGGTCATTTGGGTAGTTTCTGTTGTCATTATGATTTAAAAAGAGTAATCACAGTTGATTGATAATAAATGGCTTTAGGCAACCACTAACCATGAGTGAAAGAAAAGTTTTTGTGTTATCATTCATATTCTCTGAAAAATGGCCAAGAAATCATAAATTCTGCCAGGATATGTAAACTTACGAGCACAACTGTATGTGTGTGTGAATACATAAAGATTCATTAAAAATGGTATTTTCATGTATGACAGTTCTTAAACATGAATTGCGACAATCCATGGCTTATGCAACTTGGTAAATTTATATATCTGGAACTATTGCAAGTTAGCACTGTTTTCAACAAGGTCTCTATTATGATGATGAAGAACAGTTATTTCTCTTTCTTTTAATTTTCTTTTGTTCTCTTTAAAAGTTGATTCTCTTGGCTGCACTTACATCACAAAAAAGAAGAGGATTGTGTGTCCCTTTATCATAATAATGAAGATACTGGCATGGCATTGTTCCTTGTTTGAATAATTGGCTCACAAATGATGTATGCTAATGGGTGAAAGAATAAAACCAATGACAGCGCCTGAACCAAAACCTTTAACCTACCAAGGTCTCTAAACTCAAGTTGGCCTCTGTATTAGCTTAGCTTGCCTAAACATTTAGACATAATTCATGGTAAAGAGCATGAATTAACAACTGAATTAAGTGAAAGAAAAACTGTTAAATTGTAAGGCTGTGAAGCTAAGAGAGAAAGGACGAGGATGTCATAAATTGCTATGGAGCAATGGAAATAATAGAGTAGATTGGAAATAAATGAATGGAAATAAAAGAATAGATTCATTTTAGTTTTTAATCCTTAATTATGATTGAAAGGGCTAAAATATGCATCAGAAAGTTTTACTTAGTGTTATAGGATGTTGTAGGTAGCAGCTTCTGCAGGGTAGAAAGGGGGCAGAGTGATGCAAATGACATTGCAATACAAACCCTGCCTTTTTCCAGGGGTATCAAAAGGCAACACTGTTTTTATTATTCTGACAAAATACTGCATATTTTGGTTGAAAGTAGGATTCCATGCATTACTATGAGTTGCATCCTATGCATCATTGAATTGTAATAATGGAAGAACCAGGAGTAAATTTGGGGTGGGGGTGGGGGAAATAATGAAACATTCTGAAATAATATGATCCAGAGGGAAAGAAGTTGTTTTAGATGGCATGATTGGGTGGGAGGGCAGAAGACAAGCTAGCAGAGGAAGTGACTGGTTCTGAAGATCTCAAAATGAATAAAAAAGGTGATTGGTGAGCATTTGGTTATATAATGATGTAGAAGGAGCTCAACTCAGGAGAGATTTTCCTTTTTATTCCAAAAACGATAAAGTAAAAAATGAATCAAAAGTAATGTAAAATTAGCCTGTGTTCCTTTTTGAAAAAAAATGTTTTGTAAGTTTTTGATCGCACAAAAATAGCTAGAAGTGTGCCCAGAAGACATATTAATGATAGATCAAAGTAGCAAATGGATGCAAGCTTCTTTTTTCATTTGTTCTTTTAAGCTGTTCTGATTTCCCAACTAAAAAAGACTGTCTAGTCACATTTCAGCCTCCCAGTACTGGCCTTAAATATAGATGTGGCTTGTATGAACTGACACCTAATTATTATGTCAACATCCATGCTATTCTTTGTCCAGCTCTTTAGTAGAACCAGCTTAGCCCAAGATACCGTGGAAACTTGAAAAGAACATGAAAATGTCCTTATTCTCTTAATTATGAAAGGGATGAATGATCTCACCCCAGTACTTCCCCCTTAAAGGCACTCCCTCAGCCTGCTAACTAGTATAAGGCAGGCCCTGTAGTTCACCTTCAGCCTTTCTCTAAGATCACAGTCAATTGAATGCAAGTTCTCATTTTATCTCTCTCTTTGCTTATTGCAGGTACATTCAAGGGGCCTCATCTCCAAAAGACATGGTGATCATTGTGGATGTGTGAGTGTATTTTTCCCTACAATTCTCCACTTGTCGGGTTTTCAGACTATATCTCATTGTTTGAGCCCCAGTAAAATGCTGAAATTCTTGAAATGAATTTGGAGGCCCAGTGCGCAGGAAGGACTGTCTCCACAGCATAAGATCATCATGGAAAGGAAGTACTTGGTGCTTCGGATAGGAGGGCAATCCGACTGCAACAGCTCTCCTCATATTAGTCACCAGAGTGGATTTGGCTGATCTGACTGACAGAGGGTGACTCTTCCCTCCCTCACAGTCAATATATACTTCTCCCAAAGCTCTTCACTTTGTGAGCATATAGGAGTGGACCATTCTTTCATCAAGGCTATAGCAGCCTAAAATTTGCTATTTCCCTTACCAATCTGTACTCTATTTGTACTGCTCAGGTGTATTCAAAGAGCATTGGGAATTTGGGAGGAATCTGGGTTTGGCGAAGTTTTTGTCTCTCATATCATCTTACACTACACAAAAACAAGGCAGGGTTACTTTAAATTTCTTCTTTGTTCTTGCTTCAGTCTTTGGACTACATAATCCCTTGTCTAAGTCCCTCCTTAATGGCTCTTTCAAGGTCAGCTCTAAATTCCTTTGGGGAATTTAGTGAGCAGTGGGCTGCAGTCCTATGCAGCTGAGCTGGGATATATTGCTTCAAGATTTTGAAGGCACAGATATGTATGAAAGGAAGGTTAGATGCAATCAGCACATATGCTAAAACCCATTTTGCTGGAAAATCAATCCTATTTAATTTGGCATAACTTGTTCCTAAGTAAACAGCAATAGGGTTGGAAAGCTTTTAAAGCCACAAGTCTATCCATATTGATTTGCTGATCCCAGGAATCTCCCCTTTTACCTTCTACCTCTTCCAACAAAAGATTAATTCTCACAGGTATGACAGAAGTGCACTGCCTAGGACAAAGGTGGAAGAATCTTAACATTTGATCCTATGCTTATTTACTCAGAGGTCCCAAGTATATTTAGTGGCATGTGCTGCTGAATCAACTAGTTTTTAAACTACAGCGTACAGGTGAACTTTTTTTTTTTAAAAAAAAGCTTTGAATCTGGGATGGGTTTAAGTATAATGAAGCATAATCCACTGCTGTTGCTAAAACTATTGGGTATAGACAGAAGAATGTTTCTGTTTGAAAGGAACTAGCAAGGATACTGGTGAAACAGAGTCTGAAACCTGAGGGGAGGAATATGCCCACACCAAATTGAACTGGACTATATATAGTGCTGGGAGGGTGGTCCCAACACATAGTGGCTTGATAGTGTGATTGACAGAATAGGCATTGAAGTACATCAGAAGGTACTCCTGATTAAGCTCCTACTGTTTGTTGCCTGCTGATGAGGAAAAGCATTTTGAAGTTAGAACAGCTAAAAGCAATCTTAACCTATCTCAGATGTGGGTTAGTAGCAAGATGAAGGCTGCCTCATGAGATCACAGCAGAAGAAATATGTTGCTGTGTCATGCTTCTGGAAGTGAGGAAAGGCTCTTAATGAAAGAGGTGCATAATGAGCTCTATCTTATCTTCTGTTACAGGAGTGGCAGCGTCAGTGGCCTGACACTGAAGCTGATGAAGACCTCCGTCTATGATATGTTGGACACCCTCTCAGATGATGACTACGTTAATGTTGCTTCTGTGAGTAGCCAGCCTGCAGTAGGAAATTAAGGAGCAATGACAGAGGCGGCTTTCTACCAACATGGCACCCACTAGATTGGGAAGTCTAATTAAAGATTTAATAAATGCTAATGTGCATTGTGGAATCTGTAATAGCCCATAGCGTCTTTAACACTAGGTTTGTTATGAACCAATAAGTTGGCTATATTTGCTTTTATGTCTTCGGTAATACTTGTATATCTTCAGTAATGCAATGCTGAGCAATGCCTCAGTCCAAATTTTTAAAAAAGAGAATGCAGACCAAGAGAGTATGTGACTATTTGAGCTGTGCACACAAAGTAAGGAAGTAAGATTCAGAATCTACTATTTTCTTCATTGTAGTATCATCCATAGCAATAATTGATGGATAATTTATAATAATAATTATTAAATATAATTTATGTATAGATTCTCTTAGTTACATTATAAATATAGATACATGCATATAACTATAAAAAACACATTTTTTCTTACATAAAGATACATACTCACATTTAGGAAAGAGAATAGATTGGATGACACTAAACTGAACTACAACTTATTGGTAACCAATATGTTATAACTGTGTAGATATTTAGAATTCACAGCAGCATCCCTCTATTCTGACATAGGACAAATAGGTATGCCTATAGTCTACAGGTTCACAAGCTTCATCATAAGGAACTATCAGGTGTATTGTAGCAATTCGTACATGCTTAAAGATAGAGAAAAGAAAGCTTGCAAGAAATCTTTGCTCTCTAAGGATGTTGGAAAGCTTCACTTACCTGAATTTAAATAGACTGACAATTTTCACAATCCAGACCGTTAGACAGGTTTTTTGGTTAGATTTTGCACGTCTCTGGTTTCTCCAGCACATTTTTCCTACAACCTAGGCCATCCTCAACTAGAACATTTAACTGACAGAATGTCAAATACTGCAATAGTAATAAATATATAGTGATATACATTGGAATAACAATTGCACTACAAATACTGTAAATATTTGAGAATCCATTGCCACTGTAGATTATTGCTTTTGTCAATTAATTTTCAGTCCTATTAGTTATGCAGGTAGTCCATGAGTTACAACCACAACTGAGCCCAAAATTTATGTTGCTGAGTGAAACATATGTTGTTTGTCCCATTTTACAACTTTTCTTGCCCCATTTGTTAAGTAAATCACTGCAGTTGTTAAATCAGTAACACAATTGTTAAGTGAATCTGATTTCCCCATTGACTTTACTTGTCAGAAGGTCGCAAAAGTTGAACACATGACTCTGGGACACAACAACCGTCATAAATGTGAATCAGTTGCCAAGCACCCAAATGTAAATCACATGACCATGGGGATGCTGCAACTGTCACAAGTGTGGAAAAATGGTCATAAGTCACCTTTTTCAGTGCAGTTGTAACTTCAAATGGTTACGGAGTGAACTATTGTAAGTCAAAGACTACCTTTTGGAGAAGATGATGGTTCATAATTCATACTGAAGTCTTTCTATTTGGTTCATATAAATTCAACTATATCAGTGGCAGGTGTGACAGTCCAGGGGACAGGAAAGTAAAGGTGAAAGAACGAACCACTCAGGAGCAAGATAAGTATTTCTCTAGCAGCAAAAGAAATTAATGATCAAAGCTGTTATCCTGGATTTGATGTGGTGTTTTTATTGCCTGCTCTTGCACTTAGCAACCTCTAGGACCATGATGGGAAACCTATGCCACGCGTGCCGGAAGTGGCACGCAGAGCCATCTCTCCTGGCAAACCAGCTGTCACCTGTTGCTCTTCCAGGCCAACTGATCTTGGTGTGTGCATGCATGCTGGAAACCGGAAGAGCAGCTCTGCAGCATGCATATGCTCTTCCGGTTGCTCTTCCAGTTTCTGGCACTTCCGGTTTCTGGCACTACTCCGCGCACACACTGCTCTAGGCGTTAAACCAGGGGTGGGATTCTATCAGTTCGCACCTATTCTCTAGAACCGGTTGTTAACATTCTAAGCAGTTTGGAGAACCGGTTGTTAGAAGAAATTACTGGCCTAATCCTGTAAGAAAGGCAGGAAGGAAACATTCCGGTGTTGCTGACAGAAACTGCCTCTCCATTAACCCTTATTACATTCTTGGCAGGACTAGACTTCCTGTCTCAGGAAGTTCTCTGGAGTTTTTTTTCCTTCCTTTGCTGGTACTTTGCTTGTGGGGAGTGACCATTCAAAGTTACAATGGCACTGAAAAAAGTGACTTATGACTTTTCACACTTATGACTGTTGCAGCATCCTCACAGTCATGAGAGGCCAGACGAGGAGATGCGTGCCTCGATGTGAGTGATATTGAGTTGGCCACGCCCAGCCAATAACATGACCAAGCCATGTCCACCCAGTCACACGACCACCAAGCCATGCCCACCAACTAAGCCACACCCACAGAACTGGTTGTTAAAAGATTTGAATCCCACCCCTGAGTTAAACAATAGCTTCTCTAGAAACAAGTTGCTGAAAGCATCTCAAAACCAAAATGCCACATCAGCCCTACAAAAAGAACCCATGCTCTATTTGCCTGATTTGTTTCCTTGTATAACAGGGGAGGGGAGAGGGAGATGCCCGTCAGAGGCCTTGGCTTCTGCCTCTTGCAGCTCCTGCAGCCCAATTTACCATTTCTGTCACCTTTCCTTTTCCCACACTCCTGACTGTTCTTTGCCTTTGATCGATTGCAAATGACAAAACACACCTGCAAGCAATAAATTGCATCCTCCTTTTGCCATTTCCTCGGTGCCAGCTTTGACAAGCCGTTCTGTTTGCACAAGGTGGTTCTTTGTGGTGGGAGTTGTGGAGGGCGTGGGGAGTAAAGCCAGCAGGTGTGACAAGGATGAGGAAAAGGAAAGCTTTGACTGAGAAGATGATGTTCATGAAAGAAGCCGGGCTCTTTCCTGAACTTTGGTTGGATTAAGCTTAGTTTACAGGTAGGAACACGTTGTGGTTTAAAGGATCACGAATGTAATTGGAGGCCGCAGCAAAGCTGAGCTCCTTTTAGAAGGCTCTTCCCAAGTTACTGCCTCCAGCTGGATAGATCCATGGAAAGGGACATCCAAGGATCATAGCCACTTGTTCAACAGCCTCTTTCTACCTGTTACATCCCTGTCCCTAATCTAAAATAGAGAGTCCTTTTTATCTGTTATTCCCTAATCCTCTGGTAAGTACAAAGCTTCTGGAACAGGAGAGGTGTTTTCCCCATCTCTGATATGGCATGGAGGAAGTAAGGAAGAACCTAAAACTACTTAAATATTTCTGTGAATGCCATTCAGCTCTCTAGCAAGCACATAGGGCTTTACGGGAGAGGAAGAGGGTTCAGCCATTCAAACTGAAAAGCCTTCCCTTTTTTAAAAAAAAATTCAGCTCAGGGAAGAATAAAGCTCGCCTCTCTTCGAAGTGCCCTATAGTTGTTTGAGAGAGGGCATTTTTTTTTTGGAGGGGGAAGTGCCTTGCTTCCCATCCCTCCTTATCTATTTCAGTAAGGGCTGGCAGAACCGTAGGCTCTCCATCCCTTATTCAAGAATAGGCTTCATTGTCAGTAAACTTTCAGACATGATTTATCAAGTTCTGGTACTTCAGTGCAGAGAAAAATTAAGCCACCACAGCAGAACAATCTGCTATGTTATCTTACTATCACAGAGTATGTACTGTATGTATGTATACATAGATGTTTGCTCCAGAATTTAAATTCTAGGCTCCCCCCACTCCCCATTCTTTCCAAGTTAATGGACCTTTGGCTGTTCTTTCCAAGGTCACAGCTGGAATGTGTTAGCATAATGTCGCTAGCCTGAGAACCATTGGTCACTCTTATACCAGCTTTCTTCTGAAGATAGGAAGGAATGGTACCGTCAAGCTTCAAGCAATGCTCTCAGTAGAAAGGATGGGAAGTGACTGAGAGATGGAGAAAACAAATGTTGCTTGTAGAACAGTACAAGGAAATGAATGACTTGGTGCCCTTTGCCCTTGCTGGCTGACAAGTACTTGACCTTCCTTATGCTAAACTGGTCCCAGTGATCAGCACATCTTCAGTGCTAAAAATCCCACTTTCTTAAGAATGGGTCTGTAGGCTCATGCCTGTTGAATATATGGGCATGATTTCTTTTTTTTTTTTAATAAAAAATTTATTTGGGTTTTCACAAAACATAATACAAGTAAAATTTCTTTTTTTTTGAGAATAGTATGGTCCTGGATTATCACTTCTCCATACAGACACAAATTCAATTTCATCTTTATGTTCTATTCCATATCTTATTGCTATTTTAACATTTTCTCAATAATTTTCCCTTCCCTTAGTTTTCTCAATCTTACTTTTAATTATCTTGTTCCTTTCTAAATTCAATATATATATATATATATCTTTTTCTAAGTTTCAATACCTTTCTAGTCATCATATTTCTACTTTTGTCTGTCCTGCTTCAATTTCATATTTTCTTTTCTCATTAAACAAAATTTTCCCCTGTAGTTACTAATTGAAGTACGACACCTTTGTATCTTTTAATTTTTATCCATTCAACTCTTATTTAAACTTCAATTTATGCCTTTACAATTATAACATTCAATATAACACATAACTTCCAGTCGAATTCTGCTTGGTACATTCTTAAAATACACACTAAGTTCTTAAAGAGAATATATATATATATATAAAACAATAATAAATAAAATACTTATTCTATCCCAATTCAACTCTATCATTAATGTTAGTTATAATCTTTGACATCTTTAACATTCCTTTTCAATAGGATATCATACTTCTAGGAACACTTATAATATTTCCATGGTTTTTTCATGTTTCTTTCATATTCCTCTTCACTTAAATTTTTATAACACATTTATAATAATTAAAATGTTCCCCTCCTTTCCTAATTTCATTCTCTCATTCTCTTTATTTCATTTATTTATTAAACATTCCATTATATTACAATGAGTATTTTATCATTTTAATCACACTTGTTTCATATTTTCAAAGTTCATTTCTATTTCTAATATAACAATACTATCTTATGTACCCTTGCGGAATCCTCCTTTCAATTAAGTTTTCACCCATTATCTCTGTGTCTTGTACATTTTCCCTGTTTCTCTATGTCCTGATTCTGTCCTTTATAATTTCTTTTCCTTTCCCGCTTCTCCCTCTTCTTCTCCCTTCCCTTTTTGATCCCTTTTCTCTCTAATTCTGATTCGCTCTTCTATTTCTTCCTAATGTTATAATTACTTTTCAAACTATTCTTTTGGGGGGTTGTTTTTTCAGATCTTAAATTTTTCACTCTCTTTCCCCCCTTCCCTTTCTTTTCCCCACATAGAAATACTTGGTCATTGAAAATGGCTTCTTCTTTGTCCTGATGGGCATGATTTCTATAACATGCATCATATACATGCACTGACACTAATGTTTCTCTGTTTATTGTTCTGCCCTTTAGCATTTTTCTGCCTCTCAAGCCTTAAAGGGACAGATCCTACATACAGTATGTACAGTATGTATACATGTGAAGTGAAGTGAAGCTGGCAGTGTGTTTTTGGCACTGTAGGAACAATCTTTCATGTCCCCCCCCCCAAAAAAAAAAAAAAAACCCACTAAAATATCAGTGGAACTTTGCTATTTATATCTACTGGGCCTGAAGGATTGCTTTAAATCAAGTTTACTTCTCTTTAAATAGTTTCCATAACAACACTCTTTGTTACAAAAGTAAAACCTCTAAACAATTTAGGAGTATAATCTGTACCTTCTTGATAGCAGGTAACATAGTTATTGACAGCATTATGCATTGCCTATAAATCAAATGGGTAACTGAGAAGTCGAACATACAGACTTCTGGACTATAACTATGTTGACTAGAAATCCCAAATATATACTAGTAGATGACATCAGAGTTCCTAAAATCCCCTATATAATATTTTCTGATCGATCGACTTTTAGGATGAGGTGAACTTATTCAATATGTTTCTACATTTCAGTTTCAGTTCCAATTGCAATAATTTATATATTTATTAAGTTCAGAGGACAGACTAAGATTTTTAATTTATTTTAATTTTAAATTATTAAACGGTGCCTAGTTACAGCACCAGACTAGAGGCCAGGAAACTGTGAGTTATAGTTCTGCTTCAGGGATGAAAACTGGCTGGGTGACTTTGGCTTAGTTGGTCCCTCTTAGCAAAACTCGTTTTACACAGTTGTGTTGTGGAGAAAACAGGAGAGAGAAAGAGCAGTACTAAGTATTTGCCACCTTGAGTTATAAAACAGTAATATGGAATAAAAATAGCTACATAATCTTGAACCCTGACACTTCATCAAGAAATGAATAGACCTTGGCTTGAGAAGAGCGTATGACATCCCCACCTAACTGGAAGGCACTAGGTTGAAAATTGTCAGTGGTGCCATGATTTTAAAATTAGTTCATCCAGATCCAGATTTCTGCTGAACTAATATTCTGTTGAACTAATATAACTAATGTTTATTTAGTATCCTATGACTATTGCCAAGTGTTGTATCTTATGATTTATGATGAATGTATTTTTAGAATGACTATGATCATGATTTATCACTTATTTGTATATACACTGAGAGCTTATGCACCAGAGACAAATTCCTTGGGTGTCCAATCACACTTGGCCAATAAAGAACTCCTGTAAGACCGTCCAAGAGGCAAGTCTGAACTGTAATTAGCCTGCCAAATTTTCCATCTGCCATGAGTTACCAGTTTATTATTGTCCTGCCTTTTTTTTTCAACAGCTGGCAAACTTACACATAAGAGAATGTCTTTTTCCTGGCAGTGCCAGAAGAGGCATCATTTCTGAAATGCTCTTAGTTGTTAATGGGTGTCCCCTGAAGGTCTTCTTAATATTGGTGTCTCTACTGCTGTTCAGCTGCATCCCCTCTGAAAAACTAGAATTTTCCAAGATAGATTTTCAGACAGGATGAATCCCCAACTGTCATAATCCTAGCCACATCAGAAACAAATAGCACGTGTACTGTTTTTACTCCAAAGCCTGATCCTGAGAGTAAAAGACTGAGAGAAAGCTTGAGGAATTGCCTTCTAAGTACTTTTCAGTTTTGTACTACAAATTAATGTTTAATTTGACTCAAATTAAACTTGTTCTTCTCCCCTTCAATAAAGTAAAGTTGTTCTTTTTATAAGTCAAAATCAAGGCACACCATGGAAGAAAGTAAGAATTCCATCATTCTCTGTAACCCTATCATGCGCCTGTTGACTAGCTGAAACATGGCTGGCCTAATTAACAAGTCTAGCCTTGTTACTTTTGCTGGATCGCTGCCTTCTAAATTAATGTTCTGTATTTCCAGCAAACTAAGCCATAAGCAAAAATGAGTGGGTTTTTTTCCAGTTCACCTGCTGGCCAAACTCTATCCAAGAGAAACCTGCTCTCTCCCAATAATCATTTATCATAGAGTACCCACTTCACTGAGCCTGTGACCTTGTGATAAGGCATTAAAATGTCCTGCAAAAAAAAAAAAAACGTGTTTGGCCAATCCCAGTTATGCTGTCCACAAGTTCATTCAATTCTCAATCGCTCTTAACAGGAAGGAAGATTTTTGTTATTCCTTAATGTCAGTCTATTCCTTAATGTCAATCTATTCCTACAGAAACCTGAATACAGAATGTGGTGCCATCAGTAAGAGGGCTGTAACCCCTGGGAAGAGGGGAGGAGAAGCCATTTTTATTTCAGTCAGTCCTTTCTGCACTTCTTTAACACAACCTTATCCAAATTGTCTTTCCTTATGTGATTGGAGTTACAGTCTGCAATTCTTCCTTTCACAAGAGGATGGGAGGACCATAAAATATCTTCCCCAGTGGGCATATCTGCTGTGCCCCTGTTGTGCATTGTAATTGGCATACTTTCTCCTAGAGAACCCTGTGAATTTGCAGGCTGTAGTAGTAATTGGAAATATCAGTTTGAGGTAGTTTTGTTCCTTCCCATTAAAAAATAACTACAATTCCCATGATCCCTTGATTACAGCCAGTTGAAATCTTAGCATTTGTGTGCCCACTCATGCAAAAAAAAAAATGCAATAGATCTTGACTGCTGTTTGATCTATTTCAAAGATACACTCACTACCAGTTGAGACCAATATAAAGCAATTGATCATCATTTCCAAGTGTAGTGAGGAAACAAGCTGCCTCTTTGCTGCTGCTTCTCTTGCTCTCACGTAAGCACATCCTTTATAGTTGAATCTTGATCAGCACAGCTGTAGAAACTATTGGAAGGGTTCCAATATTTTGAACTAGGATATAATCATATTTTAAAGGAAAGTGGGTCTCTGAAAGTAGTAGTAATTTTTTTCTGACCTTCCTTGACTCCCCAATTGATTGTCTCAGCCGACTTGAGTATGTTATCATGGCTCGGTATTACTCAAAACATTTATGGCTCTGTTATTCACTAAACCCAGTGGTGGGAGCTGATCAGATTCCCAGCTTTTGCATAGTGTCCTTAACTAGTCTAATGGATTATAATTTTCTGTCTTTCAGTTTAACCAAAAGGCACAACCTGTGTCCTGCTTCAAACATTTGGTCCAAGCTAATATCCGCAACAAGAAGGTCTTCAAAGAGGACGTAGAAGGAATGGAGGCCCAAGGAACCACAGATTATAAAGCTGGCTTTGAATATGCCTTTGAGCAACTGCAAAATGTAAGTCCAGGTTTTAAACTTGGGAGGGTGGAAGGCTAAGCATTCAAATACCAGATTTCAAATAAGATGGAGACAAGAAAATATGGAGCTGGAGAAGTAAGGGTCAAATTTGATAGAAAGGCATATGAAGAATTTTTAATGTCCTATTTGCTGAAAGCACCAAAGTGCAGGATCCTCCCAATCTATCTCCAGCAACTGCTATCAAGGGGGAAAACAATAAAAAAAATCTCTATATTTGTAATTTTAGCTTAACCTTGACAAGTCTAAGCAGCAGAAGGATTCCTGGAATTTCATGTTTATGTCTCAGATTCTCATAATATCATTACTGTGTTAAAACGTAGAAGTGATTATCCTAAGAAGCTTCTCTGTTGGTTCAGTTTTCCTTGACAAGGCACTAAATAAATATATATTGGACAGCAATCTGAGAAAATTGAACTCTTACCTAGCCAAAATGATTCACTGGTGGACTTGGTTTGTTGCTGTAATAAAATGAGGAAAGAAACCATGCATGCAGCTTTGGAACAAGAGAATAGAAATGGAATAATACTCAGAGGCCACAAGGAAAGAAAGAAATCCATTGTGTTTTATGATTTCTTCCTTCAGCCTGGGGAACTGCAGCAAGTTATAGCAGTCAGTGTGGCCCCTTCTCTCCACACAGTCAAATACTGTATTTGATGGCAGCCACAATTCACTGCCCTTGTTTTGTTTCCCTAGGTAGATGCAACCTTCTAGTTTGCCAATTGCAGCTTTGCTCTTGAGATTTACTGCAGCTTTCATTACCATGAGAACCCAGCCTAGCACAACATTCCACAAACATTGTCTCCCTTCGCTATATTCTGTTCTGTTACCTTAGCATACAGATAAACAGTACAGCAGTCTTTGATAAAAAAAAAAATATTAAAGGACTGTGAAGGATTGTGGAACCTGTCATTTAAAGCCACACTGATTTCCCCTTTTAGCTGCAAGTTCCATTATAGCAATCTTTTCAGAACAGAGACAGCTTATTGTATTTTAAATATCCTGCACACAATAAAAAAAATTGCCATTTGTAAGCACAGTACATTGTGAGCACTTTATATATTTGTACTTCTCTGCTTGTCCCATATATAGATCATCTCTCTCTCCCAAAGTACTGAAGATAAAATACAAGGTTCTTTTTCATACCTATCAACCAGGGGTGGAATTCAACCGGTGTTACTACCAGTTCGGTGACTACGTTTTACGCTATGCGCATGTGTAAAAAACCTTAAGCTGTGCCTCCCAGACAGCTGAAAAGCGCTGCATGCAGGTGTGCAGCATTTGAAAAGCCTCTTTTTTCCTGCTTTTTCAACCTCAGCTGTGCTGCACAAAGTAGCTGAGGTTGAAAAAGCAGGAAATAAAGGACAGATAAGAGCCCCGGTGGGTGGGCCAAACTGCCGCAAACACAGAACCAGTTTGGTGTCTGCTGCTCTTCAGAGCTACCGGTTCTATAAAACTGGGCAGAACCAGTAGCATCCCACCCCTGCTATCAACCATATTAGGGAGGGGGTTTTTTACACCTAGAAACTCTGTGAGGCAGGTTGGAACAAGATAATGACTGACACAGAGTCAGTAAACCTGTTTCTTGATTAAGAGGGGTTATTCTGACCATAATACAAGTAGCCCTCAATTAACAAACATTGAAGTTAAGAACCTCCCCATCCCACCCCCAAAAAGTGGTACTAATGACCCAGTTCTGGAATTCTGATGGCCCACGGTCATTTTTGGGTGCTTGGCAACTTGCTCGTATTTATAGGTACTTGCAGCATTCCATAGTCATGTGACCACAATTTTCAGTCATTTTTTGGGGTGGGGGCAATTTCCACAGTTTACTTCTCGTTTCTGGCAAAAAATGGTCATTTGGTATAACAGATTTGTTTCACAACCATCACATTCACTTAACAACTGCTCTAGAAAAGGTCATAAAAACTGGTGTGACAGATAACAGATAATCAGAGTTGGAAGGGACCTTGTGGGTCACCTCGTCCAACCCCCCACCCAAGTGGGAGATCCTGCACCATTTCTGACAAATGGCAGTCCAGTCTCTTCTTGAAGGTCTCAAGTGATGGCGCTCCCACAATTTCTGAGGGCAAGCTGTTCCATTGGTTGGTTGTTCTCACTGTTAGAAAGTTTTTCCTTATTTCCAGGTTATATCTCTTCTTGTTTAGTTTCCATCCATTATTCCTTGTCTGGCCTACAGGTGCTTTAGAAAATAGCTTGACCCCCTCCTCCCTGTGGCAGCCCCTCAAATATTGGAAGACCACTATCATGTCTCCCCTGGTCCTTCTCTTTATTAGACTAGCCAAGCCCAGTTCCTGCAACCGTTCATTGTATGTTTTAGCCTCCAGTCCCCTAATCATCCTGGTTGCTCTTCTCTGTACTTTTTTAGAGTCTCAACATCTTTTTTATAATTTTATAAAAACTAGATGCAGTACTCTAGGTTTGGTCTTACTAAGGCTTTATAGAGTGGCATTAGTACTTGATCTCGATTGTATCCCTCTGTTAATGTAACTTAGGGTTGCATTAGCTTTTTGGGCTGCTGCTGCATACTGTTGGCTCCAAGATCCCTCTCACAGTTACTGCTATTGAGCCTGGTTTCACCCAGTCTATATGTGTAATTTTGGTTTTTCTTGCCTAAGTGTAGAACTTTACTTTTCTTTACATTGAATTTCATTTTGTTAGATATGGCCCAGTGTTCTAGTCTGTCAAGATCCATCTGGATCTTGAGCCTATCTTCTTGGGTGTTAGCTATTCCTGCCAGCTTAGTATCATCTGCAAATTTGGTAAGTTCCCCTTCTATTCCCTCATCTAAGTCGTGTGGTCACATGTTAACCTGTTTAATGACTACCATGACATGACTGTAATTCTGAACTCAATTATAATTGTAAATTGAGAATTACCTGTACCACAAGCAACAATGCAAGCAGGCACTGCTTAAACACTAGTGTTTCGATCATGCCACCAATAAGTTCATTAGCCATGTCTGAACTGTATCTCCTTCATTATTCTTTTTCCTGATCATGCGAGGGGCTGAAACCAAGGATAAAAGTTTCAGTGCTGAGTACTTTCCCCTAGATGAACGAAAACTCCAGCAGCTGGTACTGAAATTTCATTGGAAACAGTTGCCTCTTCCATTTCATTATAAAGTTAGCAGGAGCCATCTGAGAAGACTTGGATCAGAAGGGCTATAATGACATTGGACAAAATAAAGATGAATAGCTCTATTAAATGCTGAGCGGTAATAGCCACAACATAATTTCTGTCCCGACAGCAACTCCTTCTCCCTTGCTCATCTGTGCCACCTTCATCCCTGGAGAATAGTTAAAGAAAACAGATGTCTCTCTGCCAGTGTCTTAAGAGGACAGCAACCAGGATAGGAACTGATAGCCTTGACATCTGTTGTCTTCTGCTCTTTCCCATTACAAATATCCTGTTGTTGACCTCTATAAGGAAGTTGACCTCCTTGGGACACATAAGTACACATATAAATAAATATATATCCTTTTACTGCTTCCCCTAAGATTGCAACCATACATTTCCTTTCACTGGCTTATCCAGAAGTCTGAAAAATACACCTCAATTGAATAGAGTCCTATATAGGAAAAATATATGTTCTAATTAATGTATGCCTGTATTTCTGAACTCAGCAACCTGTTTGTGCGTGTTTATTCTTCTCTTTACACAGAAAAAGTATTAGTCCAAAGTCTTAAGTAAAATGTATGGGGTTTGAAATTTATACCAATGTGCACAGATCAAATTCTACACTGAAATCTGCAGTTTTTTTTAAAAAAATGTAATGATGTTTATAACTGAAAGTGTATATGGGAATATGCGTATTTAAGAAAAATATGCGAAGAAAACTTTATTAGGAAGAAACATACACAAAACCACGTTCAGTTGCAGAAAAAATGGCTTGAAGAAGCCATACTGTATACGTAAAATGCCGGTTTCCCACCAACAATTTATTTTAATCAAGTGCCCTTACAAATACAGCTATGTACTGTATATTAGGTTGTCTCTCTCCCAGAAAAAAAACAATGTACTTGGCTCTGTGTCCTATACTTGCTGAAATGTCTGCTTCTTATTTATAGTCCAATATCACAAGAGCCAATTGCAATAAGATGATCATGATGTTTACTGATGGAGGAGAAGACAGAGTGCAAGATGTTTTTGAGAAGTATAATGGACCCAACAAGACGGTGAGTATTCAGCCTGCATCTGAACTTGCCCTTGCGACATGACTATATTATGTCCCCACGTGGGTATCCAATATTACTACAGCCACTTGTGTGTCTCTTCAAGATTCACAATCAGATTGGAGAGTAGTATATCTAGATGATCTATTTCTCAAAGGAGTCCTAAAGGGAAGGCCTACTGGGATTCCTCCAGGAATACCAAAATATCAGCATCTAATCCTTTCCCCTTCCACAATCCGCATCTAAATCACAGTGTAGTTGCAGCTGTATCCTCTCTGGTAATGCCATTGCCACGCTACTAATTTCTATTCTCAGAGACCAGAAATTGTGTACTGGATCTGCAAATTGTTGCCAGCTCCAGCACTGTGTTTCAGATATGTGAGCTTTTGAAATCAAGAATCTAAATAATGAATAATAGACAGAATGCAACAGAAAGTCAAGCACTTTATATAGACATGCACGTGCATTCTTTCTTCACTAAATATATAAAAATGCTATTTATATATTTACTAGAAAATGCTAAATCAGCTTATTAGACAGAAAAAGACTTCATGTTGCTGCATTTTTTAGCTTTCAGTCTGTAAAAAAGGAATCTCTTCCACATAGCCTCTAAGTCAAAATAGACAGTTAAAGTTCTTAACCATCTGATCGCCTGAATTTTTTTAAGAAAAGTTCTGGATTTCACCTGCGCTTTAACAGAGCTGATTGGGGAAGTCTCCACAAGGGACATAATGAATCAGGATTGGTTTTACTCTTCTACCATAAAAATCACATTTAGTTACATTTCAGATTCAACAAACATGATTAAGCTCGTAAATTCAGTTCTGCCTGGGGGCCAAAACAAGGAATTCAGTAAAATCTACAGATTTTTTTTTCTTCCAGGAAATTCTATCCAAACGAGAGGGTATGCAAAGTAAAAATAATAATAAAGACCAAATGAAGGATAGAAAGACATGTGCCAAAGCAAAATATCATGGCCAGTATGTTTAAAAAAATTCAGGCAAAGCATAGAATGAGACCTGGCAAAGAGGAAAACCAGGAAAGTCAAAGAAAGAGACAGGGGCTAATTCTGGCTGCACAAGATCAAGCCTTAAGAACAAATGCATACAACGCCAGAATTGGGAAGACAGCAACAGGCAGCAAATGCTGTCTCTGCAAAGAAGCTGAAGAAACAGTGAACCACCTAGTTAGCTGCTGCAAGAAGCTCACACAGACTGCCTACAAACAACGGATGACAAAGTAGCAACAATGGTCCATTGGAAGATCTGCAAGAAATACCATTTGTCTTCAAGCCAGAACTGAAGTGATGGGACCACGAGATAGAAAAAGTAATAGAAAATGAAGAAGCTAAAGTGCTTCTGGGCCTTTAGAGTTCAAACAGACAGCATCTGCCTCATAAAACCCCAGACTTAATAAATGTCAATAAGACAGGCAAAAAAAGTCAGGAAAGCAGACATGGCAGCAGTAGAGAAGAGAAAGAACAGGAGAAAAATCACAAAATACAAAGATCTGCAAACAGAAATAGAATGTGACAAAAGAAAGGAAAGGTAGTATCAATAGTAATAGGCCCTTGGGTGCAATCCCAAACATCTGGAGCATCACTTGAACACATCAGCATTGACAAAATCACAATCAATTATTGCAAAATGCAGATTTACTTGGGATAGCTTACATCCTGTGATAATACCTTTAACATCATCTAACACCAACAGCTCCCTATCTTAAGTCCTTGGGAGGGACTTAATAAACCAGTAAAAATGCCAAATCCAATTTAAGCCTCTGGCTGATCGTGTGAGCAGCCATAATCCAATAACAACTTGTGAACACCTTCCTCTCTTCATACCCTGCCATTATTTGTCTTGTTCTAAATGTTCATCCTTTGACTTGGATGGGTCTATTTTACAACAAAGAAAATGACTCTGCAGTGGCTAAGTTAAACACTCTTCTTCTGAATGCCCCATATGCACATTTGATTTTTTTATGTGAAGAAAATACAGGTGTAGTCATAAATTGTGCTGTTTTGTTCGACTGCCAATACATCTTTCTCAGTGAGGATTTCTGTGTGAATCAGTAACAATGCCAATATAATCAGATCCTTGAATATAGGATATATTCCTATAGAAATGGCAAATAATTGAAGGCCCAGCTGTCTGACTTGCTTCGATTTAGTTATGGGAACAGACAGCAGCAGCTAACTCAGGTTTTATCTGCCTCATTTGATGCCAGCTATTTAGACAGTTGATCTTCCTGCCTGTCTGCTCCTGTGCTGAGCCACTGCCCCTTTAATGGGGTGTCTAACATACCGGCACTGGTTTTATTGCTTGCACTGACCTTGAAGTGCCAGAAGGAAATGTGGACAGAACTTCCTTTGAAAATTTGTAGAGGCTGTTTCTCCAAGACAAAGAATACATTTTGTTCATATGTCAGATTTTTCAGATATCCCATCAAAGTCAACTGTATGATAAAATGTCAGCCTGTTAATGGAAGTTCAAATTAAATGACTTAGACTCAAAAGTCGCATAACTTTTTTACTCTTCATGTTCACATTCTTTTTCCCTTTTCATACAAAGAAATAAAGGAGAGGGTTATGTCTCTTTTGCATTTTTTTTGGAGAGGATAGCATGAGCAATAGAAAACTTGTAGGTATCCACAGTCCCCAGTCACTTCTGTGCCAGGAGAGAGAGAGAGAAAGAAAAAGGAAGAGAAAGAGAGAGAGAGAAAGGAAAGAAAGAAAGAAAGAAAGAAAGAAAGAAAGAAAGAAAGAAAGAAAGAAAGAAAGAA